CCGGAGTGCTGCTGCCGAAGCAAAAAACAACAACAAACAAACAAAAAAACCCGGAATGCTGCCCTTTGAGAAGTGCCGCCCCAAGCACATGCTTGGAACGCTGGTGTCTAGAGCGGGCCCTGCTGACAGTTCTGGGATGTTACAGAAATCCCAGGCCAGATCCACTGAGATCACTGTCTGTTTTGCACTGCTCCAGCAACACAAAGCAGTCACAAATCCGGCTTCACCTGGAGGGGTACAAAGCAAACAGAACAGCCTGGTGAATCTGGCCTCATATCCTAGAGCAAGCGGCTTTTGAGGCAAGTGATAATTAAAATCCTTCAAGAATACCGTGGTTTCTCTTTAAGCCTTCCCAATGTTGTCCTGCATTTGGTAAACAGATATGATTTTATAATTAGTCTGTTCCTGCTATAAGGGATACTGCAAATACTGAGGCATCGTTATTTCATGTATCTAAGGGAATTGACAGATTTATAAGAGTGATCACTGTAATTTGGATGACAAGTCAGTATTACCCAGCCTGTGGTGAATGGGAAGTGCAGAGGTATAGTAGGAAAGTCTCTTTTCCTCCCTCTGCCACACTTTGAAAGATTAAGTCTATGACCAGTTTGCACCTTTATTGCAGCTGTCACAATTTTAGTGAAGTTGTCCATTCCAGCGCTAATGTACAGATGGCTGGCACCTTTTATTTCTGCATATCTTATATCCTTAAATCCGTTCTGAATCCCCTCCACCTTCATTACAAAGACATCAGTTACAGCACTCTCCTCTATCTCAATGCACCGATCTTCGATTCCCAGCTACGTGGTATCTAATTATAATACCCTTCTCATAGCAACCGTTACAATGAAATTATACCCTTGGCTCCTAAGAGCAGAGTTAAAATGGGGCTGGAGTAATGCGTAGCTCATATAGATGACTAGCATTCAGACACAGCGTTAAACACCCTCACGAATGCTTTCTAATGGGGTGCACTTACCTTACAAAAGAAATGCTGTGTTGTTATAGCGAAGACCTCGAAGCCACGACTGGCTCTTTTAAGTTCCTCTTGAATATAGCTGAATTGCCTGGACTGCTTGTCACACTTTTCCTTCAGCTGCTGGATGAACTGCCGTTCAGTCTCTCGAGTCTGCAGATCTGCCTTGGTGGAAAATCCATTCCTTGGAACAGCTGCCCTTTGTTTAGGGTATCCTACAAGATGAAATAAAAAACCAAAACCATAATCAGTTACTCTATATGCAGTGACACAACCTCTCATGCTTTGAAGGCTCCTGGAACTCTACTAAAAAAATAGCCTGCTGCATTCACACAAGCTTTCCAGTGATTTTACTTGTAAAAAGTGCAGGCACATCAAAGCACAAGTTACTCCTTTGGGATTGATCCTTCAAGGAGTTAAGGGTGCATCTACACTGCAATTAGACACCCACAGCTGGCCCATGCCAGCTGACATGGGCTTGTGGGGCTTGGGCTAAGGGGCTGTTTAACAGCGGTGTAGATGCTCAGGCTGGAGTCCAAGCACTGGATCCTCCCCCCTTGCAGGATCCTGGAGCCCAGCTTCCAGCCCAAGCCTGAACATCTACACCGCAGTTAAACAGCCCCTTAGTCCAAGCCCCGCTAGCCCAAGTCAGCTGGCACAGGCCAGCCAGAGATTTTTAATTGCAGTGTAGACATACCCTAAGTGTGTCCTGCGTGGTGGTGAGCACCTTGAGCTCCCACTGATGCAATGATAGTTGAGGGCATTCAGCACCTCACAGGAGGTGTCACTGCAGGACTGGGCCCAATGGTCCTCCTCTCATTAACAACCCTGTGCTCCTTGTTAGTATTCTGTACCTTCTCCAGTTACATAAAAGCTAAGACGGGCAGAAAATCAACAGGAAAGGCATGGTCGGTCAGACAAATGTCATATCCTTCTAGGAAAGCTAAACAAGAATTAGGGTGACTGTCATGTATGTTTGCTCACTTGTTGTGAAACTGTTTTGTGAGTATGGATTTAAGGTAGTCTTCTTCTCTGAATACTGTACTTCCTATGCTATCTGGCACACAGGTAATCAAACTCATAGGTCAGTGGCTTTCTGAATTCTGATTCAGGGTCCATGTAGCTAGAGATTGGAAAAGGGGGAGGAGGAACAGGAAGAGATTCTGCCTTTAAAAGAATGAATTCATGGAAACAGGGATCCAGTGGACTAAGCACAGGAATGGAGACAGAGGACCCAAACCTCAGGTGTGCTAGAGAATTGATTGGTGTACCTGGGAGGGCACTAAAGGTAGCTTTACTTCACCTTTCTGCTCCTCCTCTGAACAGGGTGATGGCCAATTCAGCCTTTGGTGCAATTTAGAGCAGCTTTGGGGCTGCTCTAAATTGAACGAGCATTTAGTGACACACACAACCCCCAAGGGCTGCAACACTGACTGTATTTTGCCAAAGAGTTGTGCTCCTGTTAACCCTGCTATGCCAGTGCAGCCAATCGACAGCAAGCTGGATTCTATTCATTTTTGTGCCTCATCAACAGATATGTGAACAAATTCCAATTACAGGACCAATCACTTACAGTTGTGCAACCCAACTGAGGACAACGGAGTTGCACGTGTGTCACTGAGGAAGCAGTATAAAGAAAATAAGATTGCATAGCCATCACTGATAGCCTGTTCAGCTGTAGAACTTTTACACCTGGTGATGATGTGTGAGGAAGAAATAAACCAGTCTGACTAGCAGTGCTGAGGATGAGTTTGCAGGATTGGCAGTTTGAAAAGCTGCTCTGGAGTCACTGAGACACAAGCCATACAGAACCCCCAATATGCTATTTTTACAGTTACTTTTTAAAGCAGAACTTAAAACTTCCACCTCCTGAAGTTATAATTAACTCTCCATTGATTGACTGACTCACCAGAACCCACAGGAACCCACAGGAACCCACAGGAATTACTTTTCAGGTCTATATAAAAAACATCAACTTGGAAATATAGTGCTTAAATTTTACCATCACGCCCCACCCACACCCTTTTTTTTGGAAGTTTCTATTATCCCTGTGCAACATTAGCAGCTTCCTGGTGCTGTCGCTATGGGAAATGCTAAGGGAGTCAGCCACAGTGACAGCAGCCCTGGGCAAAACTCATAACCAGCAAGCTGCAGGCGGGAGTTAGAGCACCTCTGGCTTGTCATGGGTTCAGGTCTGCTTTGAGCCTTTTGAAAACATTGATGCATTTTTCTGAGCTACAGCTATAGTCTGCCCTCCGGAGACTTTACACTGGAGAAAGTTTCTACCACCATTCCACAAATCGGACTGCTGTGGGTTTGAGTTGTCTCTCCCTGAAAACAAAACCCTGCTGGGGTTCACTGGTTTCGAATATACATACACCATTTTCTAGATCCCATCTACAGCTATAACAGAGTCCAGGCAGGAACCCAGTTGCAAAACAGTTACAATTTACAATGTACAATGGATGGGACTTCTGTATCCCAATAAACATGTTAAAACCCTAGACAGTCCATGGCTTTAGTGAAATTCCACGGACAAAAGTAAGTCCTGTCTACACTACATCTTTTTATTGGGTTGTAAGACTTGTTAATAGTTATAGAGCAGATAGGGCCTTATTGTGTGTATGTTGACTTGATTAGCCTCCGCCTCTGTCTAAACTGTCAGTCATACTGGAGCCACTTTATATGCTCCATAAGATATGGTCATGTTCCAAATCCTGCTCTGATACTTGACTAGCATATATCATTTCCCTAGGTGTTATTACTCAGTCACACTGAAGAAACGAGGAAAGGTGATGTTCCTGAGGTGTTGGCTTCATCACTTTGGAAATTTGCACTGGCTTCATATTTTTATTAAGAAGCTTCCTCACCAAACACTTTGTGTTCTACTGGGCAACACCTTGCATGGATTTTAACACTGTCTTCCATCTTCATCTCTGATCTCTTTATATTTTTTAGCTCCCTCCTGCATACTGTGCTGGAACATTTTAGCTCCTACAGGCTCATTTACTTTAAATCTCTCCTTGGGTCTCATTGGTTGAGCTTTCCTCACTGGTCCCAGAACCTTAGTCCCAGGGGCTATATTCAGCAACAGGGAGAGAAGAAAAGTGTCAGATGCCTTGTTAATAGGTGCTCCAGTAGAGGATAGACTTGGCCTATGTACCATACCCAAAATGAGTGTGTGTGTGTGTTAGAGGAAGGCAGAGGTGAAGAGAGAGACTTCTGTGTGTGCGTGCATGTGCATACCGTGAGTGTGGATGGAAGGGAAAGGTGAAGAAGGGTGTGTGTATTCGTGAAAGGGAAAGCTAAAAATAGAATATGCGTTTGTGAGGGAAGGCTGAAAAGGGAAGGAGATTGCATGGCCCTGCCAAATGTAAAAATAAAAATGGGACATTCATCTCCAACTATCCTTCACCACTAAGTGTGACAGAAAAGAATCCTTATTTCTGTAGCTATTACATTGAAAAGACAAATCTAACTCAATCACAAAGGAATAAATAGCTCTCTCATACAGCGATGCAGAACTCTGAACTTATGTTACAAATGAGTGAGCTTACATTTCACACAACTGCCAAGAAGAACAAACAGAATTTTAACACAAATGCTGCATGAACTTCAATTCTCAGGGAATTCACTGACCTCATTTCTGGCAATATGGCAACAGAAAATACCTGTAATTTTTGTAGGACAGCCAGTCTACACACCAGTGACATTACACAGTTTAATGGGCCAGCATTGACATTTTGAGACCCACAAGTATTTGCAGGCATGATTCAAATATTGTAAATGCTTAAGTACCCTATTTGAGTGTGCAGTCAGGTTCTTAGAATTGCAAATGACTTAAATGACAGCTACAAAAACAAACAAAAAAACAACAACAAAAAACAGCATTCATGATTAATTGTGTCCACAACATGTGGCTGCAAAGGAGGCCAGATTTTGCAACATTTCATAATTGAGTACATTATGATTAGGGCCCTATGAAATTCACAGTCTATTTTGGTCAATTTCATGGTCATAGGATTTTTAAAATAGTCAATTTCACGGTATTGTAACTGTGGGGGGTCCAAACCCACAATGGAGTTGTGGATCGCAGGATTGCCACCCTTACTTCTGCACTGTTGCTGGCAGGGGTGCTGCCTTCAGAGCTGGGCAGCTGAAGCGCAGCGGCTACTGGCCGGGCACCGAGCTCTAAAGCCAGTTCCACTGCCAGCAGCAGCGCAGAAGTGAGGGTCTCAGGGTATGGGGTGGTCATCACTTTGGGGGGGGGCAGGGTTGGCCTTACAGGTGGACAACTGCCCAGGGGCTCCATGGTCCGGGGGGCACCATGGTCCTGCCCACAGCCGGGGCCTTCTACTGTGCACTAGTGCACCAGCTGCTACTCCGGTGGGGCTGGGGAGTGATGTGATTGGAATAACAGAGACTTGGTGGGATAAGTCACATGACTGGAGTACTGTCATGGATGGATATAAACTGTTCAGGAAGGACAGGCGGGGCAGAAAAGGTGGGGGAGTTGCACTGTATGTAAGAGAGCAGCATGACTGCTCAGAGCTCTGGTATGAAACTGAAGAAAAACCTGAGAGTCTCTGGATTAAGTTTAGAAGTGTGAGCAACAAGGGTGATGTCGTAGTGGGAATCTACTATAGATCACCAGACCAGGGGGATGAGGTGGACGAGGCTTTCTTCCAGCAACTAACAGAAGTTAATAGATCGCAGGCCCTGGTTCTCATGGGAGACCTCAATCACCCTGATATCTGCTGGGAGAGCAATACAGCAGTGCACAGACAATCCAGGAAGTTTTTGGAAAGTGTAGGGGACAATTTCCTGGTGCAAGTGCTGGAGGAACCAACTAGAGGCAGAGCTCTTCTTGACCTGCTGCTCCCAAACCGTGAAGAATTAGTAGGGGAAGCAAAAGTGGATGGGAACCTGGGAGGCAGTGACCATGAGATGGTCGAGTTCAGGATCCTGACACAAGGAAGAAAGGAGAGCAGCAGAGTACGGACCCTGGACTTCAGAAAAGCAGACTTTGACTCCCTCAGGGAACTGATGGGCAGGATCCCCTGGGAGAATAACATGAGGGGGAAAGGAGTCCAGGAGAGCTGGCTGTATTTTAAAGAATCCTTATTGAGGTTGCAGGAACAAACCATCCCGATTTGTAGAAAGAATAGTAAATATGGCAGACGACTAGTGTTACCATACGTTCGGTTTTTCCCGG